CCAGCACCATTCTATGCGTGCGTGCGAAGCAAGGGGCCGTAACGCTGCGCACGAAAAGGGGCAGGCAGTGATGGCAGTGCTGGCGGGGCAAGAGGAAGCTGAGAAGAGCCACATGCTCTCAAGGCTCTGCAAAGGGGAGGGCAGCATCAGGCCCCTGGCCTAGCCGCCGGAGGACAGCGCGAGCATTTTCGCGCTGAAGTGAGATGGCAAGGCTCTGCAAAAGGCGGTCCGTCTCTGCGGACGGGGTGTCGCCACTGCGGGCGGCAATGAGGCCACCCAGCGTCCGCCAGGTGGCAGCAGCAGTGGGGCCCCACCCTCCACTGCATGCTTCGGCGATGAGAGGCAGGAACTGCAGGCCCTCTGCAACACAATGACGCTCGGTCTGCAGATGGGCGCGCTTGTGTGCTTCATAGCTGCAAGAACCAGCAGAATTTGCAACGGCACGGGACTAAAGCCATGCAGCTATTCTGAGTCAAGGTTGGAAGCACATTCGCAGCATGTTTTTGAAGCTTATCGCCAGAGAACGCACTGTTTTCTTTTTCTTGGATGAAATGCTCACAGATGCCTTGCCCTTTTGGCAGCGTGTTAAAGTTGTTACAGAAACCTTCAGGCAGTAGTTGTGTGGCAATGGATGTGCACAATGCGTGCCCGAACCTCAGGAAGTGGACTTTCAAACTCTGCCGCAATCTGCGAAACAAAAACACAAGGAGCTAGACAGAAGTAGATATGCAACAAGCCAACGGGTGCTCATGCAGCATTACCGCTGCAGAGACAGACAAAATCCCAGAAGTTCTTTTGCTGGTTCAAAATGCCATACATCCTGACATGTTCCGCGTGCAATGCGGTTCGCGATAAAATTTGCCTTCTGCTGCCTGTGAGTGCATGCAAAAAGATTCGGTAGCAATTCGAAGAACAGCCACAAAGACTTCTTGAGCGGGTCGTGAGCGTCTCCAGGGTTGCAAGGAAGCGTGTGAGGGGCTGCGGCAGCTGGGGCCACAGTGGGCGTCGAGTAATTCGACCGCTTTTTCTTGGCACTGGCCAGCAGGCACCTTGCACATTTGCCTAAGCTCAACATCATCTGATCTAAAGGGGTAGATTTAAGTGTGAATGCCTTGTTATGTCAATTCGAGGGGCACAGGTTTTGTGGTGCAGACAGGAGGATTGGCTTGTCCTTTTAAGGGTTCCTGAAAGCACAAGGCGTCCGGCAAGCCAGCTCCGAGCCAAGGAGACCGCGCAGGCCCCTCTTCAAGTGCACGACCTGAAGAGTGTTGCTTGGTCCACCTGTTTGTGTCCCCCCGGCCAGAACAGACGCAGTCTTGCGCTTTTGGCCCAAAGTGCAGCAGTGTAGTCAGGTAGAAGCCGCACCAAAGGCTGGGACGCAGAGGCCAAACGCTGGATGCAAGGCAATGGCTGGAAGACGAAGAAGGAGGCAAGTTGGCCGCAAGGCATAGAAGCCTGCTTTCCGCAGTGGTCCGACGCAGCATGGGCTAGTGGTTATGCCTTGCAGTACCCGGGCACTTGTGGCTGCGTCTTGCAACAAGCGTTTTCTGTTCGTGCGATGTTTTTGCGCACAGGTGAGCGTTCATCGTCTGTTGCAAGCAAGCATTGCTTTAAGTGCAACTTGGCTGCAGGACGTCTGGGCAGCAAGCACAACGCGGCTTGTTTCGCACAGTGTGTGCAGTCAGCGCAGGTCGGCGCAACGGAAGCTGGCAAAGTGGCGTGGTCACGCTGGCTCAACGTCTCGCATCTTTCATTGGGACATGGCCACCTGCCTTGGGATGTTCGCTTTCATCTCAGGATGGTTTCGGTTACTGGTGGGTGAGCTCCAGCGGTTTCTCTTTCTTCCACAACGACGGCTGGAACCTGAGACATTTTCGACCTGGAGCATGCCAAAGAAACGGGCAACATGTGGAACTTCCAAGGTGGACGTGGGCAGATCATCGCCTCAAGCTTAGTCACACCAGCCACCACATTGCTAAACGGACTCTGGCAGCGAAGCATTGCCGAGGAAGCGCTGCTTTCTTTGACGCTGGCTTTACTGTTCATAGACCTTGCCATGGAGTGCTGCTTTCGCTTTTTTGGGAATCTTGGCCGCTACTGCCTAACATTCCGGTGGATTTGCCTGGATGACCTGGGCGTGTCATCTAGCCAGCTGTCCTGAGTGTGTGCCAGTGGGACTTGAGGCGTCAATGTGCCAAGCCTCTCGACTGCGTCCAGTGAGTTGCCCACGTCAAAGTATGTTTTTTTTTTACACTTTGCTGAATTCCTGTTTCCAGGTGGTTGCATACTGGAGTGGCAATGGTCCTATGTATGCTGGGCACAGCAGACCTAGCGCTGAATGTTGGCGCTGGGGGTGCAAGGGTCTCTTTGCCGCTGGTCCTCTTTGCGGTGACTGAGTTTGGGTATGTGCCTTGACCTTGACGGGCCTCGTTCCATCAAGGGGAGGGGCGTGATACAACCATGTCACGCGATGTAGAATGTAGGCTGAGTTTCCCGAGCAGAGGGCACTTCACTCAGCATTCAAGGTATTTCGGATGGTTCTGCCCTGGCTCCACTTTGTGCTTGCAAGCTTCGCGCTGGTAGTGCTGTTGGTTGCTCTTCTGCTGCCTCTCCTGTTGCGGTTGACCCGGGCCGTGGCTTCGGAGAGCCGCGCGCCCTGGGTGTGCAAGCTGGCTCTCGGCGCATATTGTGGTGCCTGGACATCAAGGTATGGTAGAGACACGTGAAATCACAGAAGTCCTGGTCTCAGTTGCCGAACTCAGGTGGCACTCTGTGGCTGTGCCGCTCTGCTTCGGAGGGTGTAGGGGCTGATCTTCTCAGCCAGCTGAGTAGTGATGCATTGGCCATGTTAATCGGGACCCTCTTACCAGTCGACTCGCGGGAGGCTGGCCATTGTCAAGCTCTCTACACACCTACATGCGCCTTTGACAGGCCAAGCAACTTAAGCAAGAAACTTGCATCAGGTGCTTGCTGCCCACAGTACTACTTCGCTTGGCGGCTTCCCATGCGCTAGCAGATGTTTGATACCTTTGCTGTCTGGATTTATGTTGTGCAATGGTGCACCATGGTGCACCGAAGGTGCCGTGGACTTCTATCCCCCCATTCTGCTGTTTCACTGGGAAGCCGGTGCTGACATCCTCCTGGATCGCACAAACGCAACTGCAACGCCGTTCCTTCGAAGCCTGCTGCAGAGGCTGTGACATGTGCTAGTGTTTGTTGCGTGATGTGTTAAATGTGTTGGTTGACATGGGTGCAGTCTTGCAATGATACGAAGAAGAAGAAGCATAACCAGAACAGCAATCGTATCTGCGCGGTCCGAGTGGACAGATCAGGTAGTGTGTGCTCATTCAGCCTGAGTGCAGGGAGGGGGAAGGGGGCTAACTTCAGCCTGCACAAGGCACCCATTGGGACAAAGAGAGTACAGGAGCCAGGAGGCGTATGCCTTGATACCGGCAGGCCGGACGTTTTTTCTGGAAGTGCCATCGCGGGTGTCCCTGTGACACTGAAGACGGCTTGGGAGGCCACGTGTAGCGGATTCTGGCGCTAATGATATGGCGGTAGGTCAAGATTCTTACCTGGCATGTGCGAGGTTCTGTGTGGGCTGCCGGCGGCTTCGGCAGCAGATTTTCGTGAGCAAGGCTCAGGCCTAAGGCCGGTGCCAAGGAGTTTCGAGCAATGCAGTGTGGCAGTGTGCACGGAATGTGTTCGCTTGCCTCAACCCTACGTGCAGGCACAGTTGTCGGTTCAGTGCACAACCTATGCACACAAGGAACCTTTTAGCCTTAGACGCGGGAGTCGGGGCCTTGCGCCATGGCCTCGCTAACGAACTTCGATGAGATGAACCCCAAGGCAGTGATCGCATCACCGAGATCCTTGCAAGCCTGTAAGCAGGAGGGTGTGCTGCCACAAGAGTTGGTCTTCAAACCCTTCGAGGCTTTCCAAGACAGGAACCTCTCACCCAGACTGCAGAAGCTGCGGTTTGACTTCTTCGAAGCTAAGAGGCGTGATCTCCTCGCAGCAGCGAGAAGGGCACGGGATGCTATCGTGGCAGATGAGCACCGAGACAAGGAAAGCAACCAGCAACAGTTGGCACTCGTAGCCAAGGAGAGTGGCCTCTCAAAGGGTGCGATCTTAGCCTTGAACAGTGACACACTGAAGCTTGAACGCCAGAAGTTGCTTCGAGCTCAAGAAACAGAACGGAGTTGGTTGAAGAGTGCCTTGAACAGCGAGCTGCACCAGCTCAAGCAACTCGAGTCTGCAAACCAAATGTTGGACTCGGAAGCTGAGGACCGCCAGGAGAAGATGAGAGAGCAGTCTAGGAAGATGAAGGAGATGAACGACAAGAGGGCAGAGATGGAGGAGCGAAAGCAAATGGAAATGGAGGCTCGACAGAAGTTGGAAAAGCAACTCGCCAAAGAGGAGTTCCACAAGCAGCATCTTGAGCTGCAAAGCAGGCAGAAGGAAGAGGCCAAAAAGCTGAAGGAAGCTTACGAGCGGCAAGTCAGAGAGGCTGAGCGCAAGCGCGAGCTTGAACGGGAAAAGGCAGAGAAGCGCGAGCAAGAGGCAAGAGACTTGCAAGCTCGCAAGGATGAAATGCGTGCGCAAGACCAGAGGAGAACAGACTTGATGGCCCAGAAGCAGGAAGCTTTCCGGGAACTCATGCGGGAGAGAAAGGAAGCTCGCGACATGAAGATCTACAACAGCATTCAGGCAAATCAGGACATTGAGTTCAAAAGACGCGAGGACTTCGAGCGCAAGCAGGCAGAGGAGATGGAAAGAGAGGAGAGGATGATGCAAGCTCTGGCTCTGAAGCAGGAGGAAAGCGCAAAGAAGTCCTTTCAGACCATGATGCGGCGGAAGGTAATCCAAGATGAGGCGAACAGGAAGGCGGAGGAACGCCGCACAACCATCCTGGACCAACAAGAAGAAACAGAGTACCGGCTGATGGAGCATGAAGCAAAGAAAGAAAGGTACTTGGACTTCAAGCGCGAGCTGGATGCTTTGCGTGCAAAGAACAAGGAGATTAATGTCGAGCGCCAGCGAAGGCGTGAAGATGCAGAACGCGAGGCGATTGCCGAAGCTGTTAAGAAGAAGGATGACAAGATCGACCACATGAATGTCGAGCGACAGAGGATGTGGGAGTTGAGGCGTGCAGCACAGGCAGAGGCCTACAAAGCCAGAGCGCAGGTGAAGGACGAAATTCTGAGGCAACGCATCGCTTCTAAGTTCGATTCCAAGAAGCTTGAGGTCAAGCTCGAGTCAGTTATGCAGAGCGACCTTTTCAGTGCCAAGGTTCTTCAATCAAGCCACTCCATGCCCTCGATCCGCTGAGACTGCCAGAAGCCTGTGACCATTGCGCCTGTGGAATAACATGCTTAGGTTGAAGTTGGCAGTGCTACGAGCTAATTAGTTGGCAACTGCCTTGTACAGAGGCCCAGACTTCACTTAAGCTGGACAGAATTTGGGTTCTGCGCGGTGGGCTTAAGCTTGCTTGCCGTCGGGGTCCAGGCTCTTAGTATTAGGATTGCTATGCTTCTCAATTCATCTACTGCATGAGTGTACAAACAGGAAACAGCATGTTGGTACAAGATTGTAGAGAGAGAGAGTTTCACCGCATCCACCATCCTGCGCAGCGACGAACATTGACTCCAAAATTATCCACTGAACGCATTTGGGCCAGCTTGTGTCACCTGAAGGAGAGGTCGGACAATGCTAAATGGTCCTCAACCAATGACCCACAAAGTTACATATGCATTGCAGGCAAGAGTGCCTTCCCAGAGCGCTGAAGCGCTGCTGCGGCTATCGAACCGTTCTCGCCAAGATGGATACGGAATTGCCAGACTTGCCTCGACGTGTTTTCGGCTTCGAGGCCCACAGCCGTACCTTTGGGTCCTGGGGAGGGATGTACTGCTGAAGTCTTTCATTCCTAGAAATCTCCTAGGATCTTAGAGTTCCTAGCTCTGCATGGCCCTGCACCAGCCCTAGTTTTTCACGGCTCAGCTCCATCTAGAGATACAGGTTTCGGCGCTGTTGAGATCCTTCAGGGCATCATGCTCTCACTGCAGTCCTGTGCCTTCGGGCCTGCAGATCGCCATCGCTAATGAGATTTCAAAGTCATTGAAAGACCGCGCTGTCCGTTTCCAGCCGCCCTGCCAAAGCGGACGGAATCATGCATGCGTCGGCTTCGCCTCCCTTGTCAAGGGCGCTCTCGCAACAGTCCGAAGTTGGACCCATGTCCGTGACGCGTCCTACCTGTTGTCTAGTTTACACCAGATTATATTCAGTCATATTCAGTCGGAATCGTTCACATAGGTTGCTGTGTAGATGGCCGCGTGGGAGGGCTGTGTGTGTGTGTGTGTGTGTTTGTTCTTGCAGTCTGTAATTGAGGAGACGATTGTGGCGGAAGATGTTGTGTCGCTTCTCGAGAAGCTTCGACAGCTGCTAGCTTCGTGGGGCGCATTGAATGCAAGCTCGCCGGCTTTTGTTTATTTCTATGGCGGAGATGCGCACCCACCATATTATGCAGATCGAGTAGAAAGTGTGGAAAGAGGCTTTGCAAAGGAGGAGCCTCTGGACGTTTTCTTAGCTCTGAATCGCAGGACCGATGCTGTCGCACAGCAGCTGGCAGAATTCTGGCCGCCTCCAGGCAAGACTGACTGCTGGCAAAAAGAAAACGGAGTAGCATTTATTTATGGAGACCATGGTGAGCAACTGAGTGGTGCTGACCCACCGCCGCATGGAAACTTGGTTTCACCGGACGTGTCGCGGACCATGATGGCCTTCGAAGCCAGAGCATTTGCTTCCAAAGCAGCCTCAGCAGCCTTGCCGCACTTCCCGCAGCTCTTCCGCATGGCAGACGTCTATGCAACCATTGCCGAACTGGTCGGCCTGAAGCTAAACGGCAAGCTATTTCTCGGGACGAGCCTGCTGGAGGCCTTTCCTCAACAACGCAGGATGCGCAATTTATCGAGTCGCTTCGGTGTTGCATCTTTTTCCTTCTACCGGCCAGGACTGATGGACCTTGTGTTCGCGGACAGTTTTAGAGCGGAGTCCGTACAAGTACTGGCTGGTCTTGTGGGTCCTCAGCACCCTGAGCATAAGGCAGCATAACACGATGTAACGCGGTTTTATAAAAATAAAATAGCGGGCAAAATTGACGAAGCAGAGTTTTGAGCCGCAGTCTCGGAGTGAGAGTGCCCTCAAGGATTGTCATACCATAAGCGGCGCAGCGCTCAAGACGTAGCCACGTAGACAATCCGGGGAAACGAGCCGCCGAACCATGAAGCAGCAGAAGCCCATGCTGCCGTAGACACTGCAGCCTGAGGAGACCTTGCAGCTGTGCACTTCCAAGCTTCGGATGGCAAGATGTGCTCGGCTGAGTTCCATCGCGGCTCCATTGGGTGGAGGTTGTTCAGGGCACCTGACTTGCATTACATGACACGTAGGATCCAGGTATATGCAGGTGAGAGAAGCCGAGCCGCATTTCAGGCAGAGTCTTTGCAAAACTTCTTCGGAAGCGGGAAAAGCATCTCCTCTGTTCAGGCGGTTGGGTAGTTGAACTGAAGAGTTAGAGATTGTTTCGGGGTGCCATCCACAAAAGGTGTGGGAAGATTACCGCATTCATGTGTGCACGCGCGTACGCTGGCACATGTAGATATATGACATGCGCATATGTATAGGTTTGGGGGAACGAATACGCAAATTATTCAGGTCTTGGCATATTGGAGGCGATAAGCTGATTGGCTGAATGCATCTAGGATAGGGGGGGGTGTCTGGAGATCCAATCAGGAAGGGGAGAGCGAGCTCTTCAGATCACGATTTTTAGCCTGCGAGCACTGCCAAGTCTCCTCTTTGGCATAGGAGATAGGTTGCGGCTGCGTTATGGCCTTCGTGCCAGAGAGCTGCAAAACGGCCGCATATCATCAAATGTTCAACAAAAGGTGGGAATGCTGCTGTCAATACTTTCAGCGCCAAGCTCCTGGCAGGTGGATCCAAGCAGCACTTGCTTCAAAGAATCCATGGCTTCGTTGGACTGGGCTTTGAAACAGCGGCGAGCACTGAATACCCTGCTGACTGTGACTTTGTGGCAGTTTACATGATGCACCTTTTTGCCTCATCCTGCTTCTTTTGCCTACAGCTTGTTCCTCAGGAGTCAAATGTGCATGCAGCATGGCTGGTTGCTTCTGTCAGGGCTGCAGCAGCCCGTGATTCTTGGCAGCAGCTGTTCTTCAATCCGGACATGCCATTGCGGTTACCTGCAATATCTGAGGCAAAAGCACTTGCAAAGTGGCTTCTGAAAAGGATGATGCGGCCGTTCCTGCCCCCACCAGTGCCGCAGCCATGTTAATGACGCTGAAGGGGAGCTTCAACAGTGGCAGTTAGGTCCAGGTAGGTCAGCCTGTAGTGGGGTCGTGTCCGAGGCCTACAACGGGACATCCAGCTGCTCTGTTCTAAACAACAGCATCTGCGAGTCCTAGTGCCTACACGCGCCTACACGCCTGTGGACCATGCAGACAACGTACGTTGTACTGATGCCAGCTTGACCTTTTTCCAACCAGGCCAGCAGTGCTATCAGCCAGTGAGGCTTTAGATCTGCAGCCTGGTTGAGGCTGCGAATAGCAGCTCCTTGTACAGGTGTTTGAGGCCACATGAAGCTGCGCTTCTTCGGTTTGCAGAGCGTCGTTTCAGCTCCCTTGGCTGCTGGGAGTGCCCAGCGACGGAATACTCACGGACACGAAGAACTCTGGGCTTTTGGTTGGGCGGGCTGCGGGGCTGCTTTGAAGGTTAGGGAGCCATAGAGCAGACAGGTCTTCGAGTGTCTGGCATGCCCGCTCCTGTCTGACTCTCAGCCATGACATCAATTTAGCTGTGCTGAGCCAGAGGCCAAATTCGTTGAAGCAGCATATGATAGGTGTTCTGCTGTTCAATCTAAGGTGGCAGGACGCCTCGAACGCTTACAGAGGTGGGCCTGCTTCGCGGCGGTGGTTTGCAGCAGTTCCAAGTTGGGTTGCTCCGTACGACTTTGGTGCAGGCACCGGGAAAACATTCGACGAATTTATCGCGAACTCAATGCTGACCGGTGGGTCGCTTACTGCTGACCTTAGCTTAAATCTTCAGAAGTAGAAACAATCAGTCTTGGTGACCTGCTACTTTTGTTAGTCGGTGGGCAAGCAACTCGGCGACAGACTTGGTTCTTAACTGCATTCTTCACACTTTCTCAGCATCTCGTCTATCGTAGCGGCTCTGCAGAATTTGGTGGCGGTCATACTCAGGATGGTAGAACAACACTAGCAAACACGATTGCATCTCCCGGTCTCCCACGCTGGTTGTCTTGCTGTTGGGCTTGGCAGCAACAAAGATACGACTGGCGTCTGCCCTGGCTGCGCTTGGAAATCTGTTTAGTGAGCTGGAGAGCATATCCCAACTGTGAAAGCCAAAGACTGGTCCGTAATTTGTGCTAACAACATCACAAAACTATTGGTAAAATAGAAGATTGTAGGAGCGAAGCGCTCCATCACTTCAATGCTGACAACTGAAATCCGAAATGACGAGTGCAACGCATGGTTCTCATACAAAACTTTTAGATTACCCCTGAATCACGTTTGACAGGTGCGCCAGTTAAATAATACACATTCTTGCATTTTCTCTGAAATGTCACCAAACAAGCAACGTGTTCAGGATTTTCTCTGCTAATGGAACGTCAACATTGGGAAAAAACACAGCAAGCCCAACAAAATGTACCATTTAGACACATTACAGTACCCAGGCGTTCCGTATGTGTGTGGCCTACTTTGCACGTGGGGCGGAATGCAACAAGTTTTGGAAGAGGAACATGTTGGGTAGTCTGTAGTGATCCAGGCTACTGACTTCACCAAAGAAACAACACCCTACTTCAGCCTCAAGCTTTTAAAGGTGAGCCATCTTGCTCTTCTTAACGCAGTCTGAACGAAACTCCCGCACCCAGTCTGCATCATCGATTGAGGTTGTCCAAAACCCCGTCCTAATTGCTTGAACCGAAAATTTCTTATCGTTTCGTGTTCCTCATATCGTTTTTCCAAGTTTCGACCTTATGGCGTTCGTTATTTTTTAGTTTTTCTTCTTATCGTTTTTCGAGATGAAACAGCACGTTTTGCACTTCACGGCGATCCAGGGCACAATCCACTGGCGCGGGGTGATTATACAACCTCAGTTCGTCCTGCTTCTTTCAAGGCATACGCGCTCACAGGGAATATCCGTTGACTGTTGACAGTTTCTCATCTATGGAGCGAGCGATTTCTCCCGTTGAGCTGCAGGACTCCCAGCTTTACCGAACTTTGTTGCTGTGCCCAGGGCACGATCCCGGATCTCGGGAGGCTCCCACCTGCCACGTGGCCTGGAGGGACCTACGGTAGGCTTTTATGGCGGAAAGCCATCGTATTAGTAGATCCGAAGCTAGCGCCATGCGCAAGAGAGAAACATGTGGCGTGAGATAGGTACGGAACATGTCGTAGTAGTACTATTATTATTAGTAGTCGTCGTAGTAGTAGTAGTAGTAGTAGTAGTAGTAATGTTGCACCCTGTTTAATCTTAAGGGCCCCCCCCTAAACAATACGAGCCTCCGAAAAATAGAAATAGGACGTCCTCAATAAGG